TTAATTATTAACAGAATTAGCTGGGGAAGAATGCCCTGCAGATTTAGAGCAATGGTTTTTCTTCACGCCTCGACAAGAAAGGGAAACACGTGGAGGCCGGCCCAATAGGCTCACGGCGAAAGGCTACTGGAAAGCAACCGGTTCCCCTAACGATATTTATTCGTCTCAAAATAACCGAAGGATCGGAAGGAGAAAAACCATGGTTTTCTACGAGGGCAGAGCTCCAAACGGGAAAAAAACGGCATGGAAAATGAACGAGTACAAATTGTTCGACTCGGGTGCTCTAGAATTATCGGGCTCATCTTCCTCAGCCGGTTCGAATCTACAGGTTTAATTAATCGTTAATTAATAACCTTGTTAATTTTCGGGTCAATGTTTTAAATTTTATTAATTCATGTTCTAACTTGTTTTGGCTGGACCTCTGATCTGAATTCGTCTGACTATTTAGCCGTTTGTAATTATGTGTTTTTTTTTTAAAAAAATTGTCAGTTGCATAATTGATGTTTTTAAAAAAACTTCGTGGTAAATTTTGTTGGATGAATGACACGTGTCGTGTGGCTAAATGCCCGACTTTTTGGAACCCTAATTTTTGCATGTCTCACATGAGGTTTTCTCTGTAGCATCAATCATATATTATCTTCTTGCTATACTACTCTTTCTTTTTTATTGGACCACGTGTACAGATTCTATCTGCAAAAATTTGCAAATTAACAAGATTATTATTGAAAATTGCTTTAATTTATGTTCTAAAATTGATTTTTTATTTATTTCTTTCTTTATTTATTTTTGCAGTTGAGAGAAGAAATTAGTTTGTGTAGAATTTACAAGAGAACAAAGTGTTTGAGGGCGTTTGACAGGCGGCCGCCGGAGGCGGGCGTAGGCCGGCAGCTCGAAAATAATCCACGTCATCACGTGGTGGTTGATGAGTTGGTAATAAATAATACTACCAGTTCGTTATCTGGAGATGCTATCACGGGTATTATTAATCCTTCACAATCCTACATGGAAAGTGATAACAGCGCCTATTGGGATATGGCTGTTGATGATGATCAATCGTTGCCCGTTTGGGATTGGGATGAATTTAACTGCTTCGATTTGTGGAATTAATAAAATATTATCATTTTAATTATATATTGTATGATTTTATTTTTATATATTTTGCAGGATATGAGAAGGGATTTTCAGGAGAGTAATTTGAATATTACATTATTAATTTAGGGGCAAAATTTCATTTTTGGTCCTCTAAGTTGGCCTCTGTCCAAAAAACCACCC